TGGGGGTGACCTTAGCCAAAATGCCCAGCATTGGGGAGAAGAGTCCACCTCCAGTAGGTAGACTTTTCAAGGGGAGGAACAGGATTCCTAACTCACAGTCAAAATGTCTGACCCAAAACTGTTCTTGTCTAAAAGAATGCAGGGACAAAAATAGAGAAGGGACTGAAGTAAAGGCGATCCAATGACTGGACCTCCAATGGATGGAGAAGGATTCATTTCATGGGGGTTTGGGGGGGCACCAAGGCCTGACACTATTACTGATGCTGTGATGTGCTTACAAACAGGAGCCTGGCATGGCAGTCCTCTGAGAGTCCCTACTAGCAGCTGACTGAGACAGAAGCAGATATTTACACCCAACCATTGAACTGAAGTTGGGGATCCCTATGGTTGAATTAAGAGAAATGTTGAAGACGCTGAAGGGAAGCGTGACCTCATAGGAAGGCCAGCAGTCTCAATTTACCCAGACCCCAGGGAGCTCCCAGAGACTGAGCTGCCAGCCAGGACAATACACGGGCCAGTCTGAAGACCCTGGCACAAATATAGCAGATGTGTGTCTGATCTTACCTTAGTAGGAGAAGATGAACTTAATCCTCAAGAAACTTGAGGCCCCGGGGAAGGGGGAGGTTTGGTGCGGGGTAGCACCTTTTCAGGGGCAAAGGAGATGAGGAATGGGGTGAGGAACTGTGGGAGGGGGGACAGGGGTAACTACTGGGGTGTAAATAGATAAAATAATAATAATAATAATAATAATAATAATAATAATTGCTGGTATGTGCTGTTGAGGCAACGATAATTTATGTATTGTTTTCTATGTTCTAACTACAACCATTATCCTAAGGGTTGTGCATATGTGGACATTTCACCTCCACAGCATGGGGGCTGGCAGTGTGACTCAGTGATATTTGCCCAGTATTTACAAGCCTCAGAATTTTATCCTCAGTAACCACATTTTTAAATTTCCTGAATTTGGTCTCCAGCATCAGATCTTTAAATGTTTCCCAACATGTGTGAGGTGAACATCACTGTTCTAATGAGGCAGAATCCATGGTGATGAGCATTTCTGATTTTATTCTAAGGGTGAGAAGAAGCCACTGGACTTTAGAAAGTGGATGATCCAGCCTACTTTAGTTTATAAGATTCTCTTTGGCTACTTGTGGAGGACACACTGTAGGGATAAAAAAGTCGAAGTGTACAGCAGCAGAGGTAGAATCCTCATGGCGTACACTGCAAGAGAGAATAGGAAGTGGAAGAATCCACCCATAAGCTTTCAAAATTCAGCCTATTTTTTTAAAAAGATTTATTTATTTTATGTATGTATAAGCACACTATTGCTCTCTTCAGACACACCAGAAGAGGGCATCAGATCCCATTACAGATGGTTGTGAGCCACCATGTGGTTGCTGGGAATTGAACTCAGGACCTCTGGAAGAGCAGTCAGTGCTCTTAACCTCTGAGCCATCTCTCCAGCCTTCACCTTTACTTTTAAAATAGGGCTGGAGATGCGGTTTTACGGTTATGAATGTGTACTGCTCTTACAGGCTTAGAGGTTAGAATTTCAGCATCAAAGACAGGCAGCTTACAATCTATAACTCCAGTACCAGGGAATCTGGTTTCTTCTTCTGGGCCTTCACAGGCACATGTGTACATACGTCCATACAGACACACCATTAAAAATAAAGGCAAATGCTTAAAATAAAAATTGCAACTGTTAACATTCTCAACGTGTTTATATGTATTTATTTATTTTTTGAGAATTTCATACTATGTATTTTTATTCCTTTCTTTCCCATTCACACCCGGTCCTTCCTGCTCCCTACAAACCCATGTTCTTCCTCTCTCTAAAAAACAAAGGTTCTGTTTCCTTTATTTAAAAAAGAAAGGAAGAAAGAAAGAAAGTGAAAACTTTGTCTCTGTTTTTTTTTTCTTTGAAAAATCCTGGAAAACACAAATCTGTGTCAGCATTTCCTCCAATGTGCAATCCAGCCCTCTGTCCTTGAGGCAAAAAAGCCTAAAGATAAAGATATTTGGGAGCAGATCAAAGTAAATGGAAGGCACACACACGATGTGACCTGTCTTGTGAAGTCCTTCCTATTCAGGGTCCCAGATAGAGACATTAATCAATCAAGGAAAAGATTCTTTCAAATGGACAGTTACTCCCTGATAACTTAGTAGCCACCTGCATAGAAAAGTAAACCCATGTTGTTAAGCTGCAGCGTTATGATCGTAGCCACTACATTATCACAACTTTCACTATCGACTACATCAGGCATCGTGTGAAATATCTGAATGCATGAGAAACTTCAAGACAAGAGAATCACATCAGGATTGTAAAAATTGAAATAAACGGAATTTCTGGGGCCTGGGGGAGGGCCACTGTAAAAACCATGGAGTCTGATTTGTGTTGGGTAACTACTCTTAAGCATGGGGTCTGCACTGTATCGTGAGGACATATCCAGTGTCACTCTGTTGAAGGAAACTTATTTTCCCTCTACCAACAATGATCAATTGTGAAACTCTGTGTTCACATCTCCTCTGTGCTGTGACTGGCTTGAGTTTCTTGAGGTCATGTTGATGAGGTCATATGTGCATCTTGCTGCAAGTGGAAAAAATACTGTTTCCTTAAACTAATCTACCACTTCTGGCTTTTATCTTTCAGCTCCTTCTTCCATATTGATCCCTGAGCCTTGAGGTGAGGAGTGTTGTAAGGAAAGATAAAATAATAAAAGTTAGCCTGTTAGTCAACACTTAAGCAAGCTTCACACTCCCTGTCAGAGCACTGCACAGGGCTGCTCATAGCTCCACACAGAGGGAACTCTTGAGCTGGCCTTCTCCAGTGACCACCATCTGCTATCCTGCTTGATGCCTGTCTCCCCAGGTCTGCCTCATTTCCCCAACCAGTTCATTGTATCCATAGACCAGGTACAGAAGTCCTTCAGATACTACAAGTAAGAAGGTTGAACTTCATCCTACATTGCCATATGACTCAAATAGTCTGACAACAATGTCTCCCATTTGTACAGTGTCACTATTATGTGGCTCTGCTAAGGGGAAAGATGCATAGGATGCTTATGGACCACTGTGCAGAGCATAATTCTACAAGAGTCCAGAGAAAGTCATTGTATGAAAGTGTGTTTGCTCATCTAACAAACCAAACTCAGCCCTACATCCTTTCCAGACCATTCATAGATGAACATCTTTTAATTAGAGGTTAAAATATCCTTTTGTTGGTAGTTTTAAAAATAGCCACTTGCCTGGTCGCAGCACCTAAGAACCCAAATCTAACCAAAACTTGACCCAATCCATATTTAAAATTCAGGTTTGGGCTAGATATGTGACTCAGGACACAGTTTGTGCCGTATATTTGCAGAACCCACACTTCAAGTTGATGTGGCCGATATCAAAAGCAGCCCTTGCCTGAAGACCTTGCCAAACAGAAATTAACATGGCAGTCCCCAGAACTGAACATTCATTTGCTTTGAATGATGCAACTATTAATGATGGTTTTCAGGACAATTTTAGATGGAGAAGAAAGGCAAAACATGAAGATTTAGGTTTTCTTTTTTGTCTTGGTCCAAGCACCACAGTGTGCCCTGAAGCACACAAGTCCCTTTGCACTATTTTTTGCCTTGTAAAAGATGAATAATAGGGTTATTTCCTTATTCTTAATGAGGTTAATGAGTCAAATGTTCACAAGATGTCTTGAAAGGTCCACTGGTAACTTTAAAACAATTTCTTCCAGAATAATTTCCTCAAAATTCTAATTCATTAATGCCTTCCTTGAATACTCAAGTGCAGTTCTAAAATGACATTTAAAAAGAAAAGGCTTACAGTTTTACAATCTGCTATGGACGTGGTCAGAAATGTTCAAAATAATCTTATCTGTGTAGACCCGGGGATATTGTCTTCATCAGTCTCTTCCCTTTGGCCTCTCTAACTCTGTGTTACCAGAAGTATGCAGTTCATTTCTAGTGACATTTACTCAAGGTTATGATAACAAGTGGCTGTCTCTAAGTGATGTATATGTTCCGGTCTTTCCTTTCCAAAGATCATTTGCTTGTTCTTCTTCAAAACTTATTTTTTCTCAGTCATCTTGACCAGAAAGATCCTACTTCAGAGCTGAAGGTAAGCACATTTTGTACAAGTTTCTCAGCTTCTCAAGTGCTCTGAACCCTGACTAGGAAAGCTAGGAGCATACTTAAGAAAAAGTTACAGCTCAGAGCTTCCAAATCCTCTCAATTGTGGTTCATCCTTCTTAAGAAAGTATCTATTTTATTTCTTAGTTAAAGCATGACAATAAAACCTATTACTTCTTTGTCTAACTGAAACTTTCTTTCCTACTAATGAATTTATTAATTTCTCTGTCCTTACTATAGTCTAATAAATTGTAAAGTCTATTAAATTATTATAAACTCTACTCAAGAATTACAGCAGGATTTGCTAATGGAACCAGGGTTGAAATTGAGATCATTCCCTTTAACCTCTTCCTGAATCATCCATTTTTTTTTTCCTGGTTAACCTTTCTGCCTTTTAAAATGGGATCGCTTTCTGCCAAAAGACCAGAGGAGTTGCTACACAATGACTCCCTGCTTCTCTGAGCAACTCTACCGCTAGCACACATGTATATGACTGCAGCAACTTGGGGCATAGAATAACTAAGTTAAGCATATTCATCATCGTATGCTCCCCTAAGTGATCAACAGTTGGGACACACATTCAGTGAAGACTCAGTGATGGCTTTGCTTGACTGGCTGCATGGAACATACAGAGTCCAAAGGAGATGGGAATGGGAAGGATACTCAGAGGGGGCTGAGAGAAGGATCTTGAGCAAGACTGGAAAGAAGAGGCCTCCTCTGCACTCCCAGGAGGAGTGAAAGGCTCTTGCTCACTCGTTCATGCATTGAGCAACGCTGTTTACTGGATTCCTATGCACTGGCCTAGTTTCAAGTTGAAGTCAGAGTGGGGCCCGGGGGAGCCCCCAGAACAAGAACATTATGTTGCTGAAATGAAGCCTCACAGCAGCTCCTGCAAAGAACGAAGTCTGTGAGGTTACAAAGAGCCACAAACCTTTTTTTGGTGGGATCCCCTCAGGCCAGGGGCAGAACAAGGGAGGGCAGAAATTGGGTGAGTAGCTTCAAAAGACTCTCAGTTCTGTTTGTGCCCCTCTTATCACAGCAAAAGATTTGCTTTCTGCGAACTTGCAACAACTCAAGGCAGCTTTGGTTTTTTATTTAAAAAAAAAAAAACTCACTGAGACATCTCACTAATAGCTCTAGGTCTGTTTTACATCTAGAAATTTAACTGACTTTTAAAGACGTCTTTCTAAGCAATGTTACGTAGCATTTCTTTTAAGTTTTGTTTTTTGGTTTTGTCTTTGGTTTTGTTTTTCCTGCTTCATGCTGTCTGGGCTTAAGACTAGCAGGGCTGGTCTTGTCTCAGGGAACATTTGGGAGCTGCCAGTGTGCAGAAGACTGAGCTAGCTGCGCCTGAATGTAGCGGAAGGGCTGTGGGCTCAGAACCCTCGCCGTAGTACAAGGTACAGAGAGGCACATAAGCAAGACCCGCTGAGAGCCAGAGGGACCTAAGAACTGGGCCGTTTGATGGTGAGGGAGAATGATGGGCAGTTGCAGTGGCATCTTTTGTTCTGGTTCCGAGGAGGTCAGGAAAATATGATCAGCAGGGGTGGGGAGATTGTAGTTGGCCAAGGTTAAGGTCAGCCAAGGCAGAAAGGGGATAGAATGGGTACTTCAGTGGCTCTCCTCCCAGAAGAAGTTCCCTAGACCCCAGAAGTACCTGGGCTCTTTATCCATCTAGAAAGGAAAAGTTTGGCTGGCCAGACACTCTCATCTCTCATGCTGGTCTCGTTTCCCTGGTCTTTCTGCACACTAAGTTGCTGTGTTCTACCCAGTAAGATTGAATGCTTGAATTTTCATTCTTCTGACCCTGCAGAAAGAGGCTCCCTCTAAAGCCTGTCATGGGGGATTCTCCACAGAAATCAATCAGTGTGCACTGCCTTTGGAGCACACAGCCACCCCTTAGAGTTATAAGGACCGTTCCTCTAAAACCAGGGAGAGTAGATATGAGCTTCTCACAGGAATCCTGCACCTAACAAAATAAATCACAAGTCTGTTAGAATGGCATCCTTCCTTGGAGCTTCTCCTTCATTTAGTAGAGTCATGATTAATAATACCTACACATCTAGCTAGGCTTGGTGGCACATGCCTATGACCCTGACATTCAGAAGATCAAGGTAGGAGAGCCAAATTGGAGATGGAATTGGGCCACATATCGGGACCCTGTCTCAAAACAAAAACAAATCCATTCCCATGAGAGTGTTACAGTACAGTGTTATTTTATCTATTTATGCCATAAACCATACAGAGTAAGATTAAGTAAACTCCGGACCACGTTGCCTCAAGGAAAAAGGAAAAAGTCTTTCTGCAGACAATGCTTCGATGCAGAGAGAAGGCTGTGATGGGAGTTGGCAGGTTGGTGTCAGTTCTAAGGTACAGTATGTTTTAGGCCAAACTCAAAACACTCCGATGGATTCAGTGTAGGATGAACATTGATGGTTCATCAGTGAGGAAAGACGTCTTGAGAAACTACCAACTGCCTCTCTTTCCAGCAGACACCAGTTCCCTGAGAGCTGAAGGGGACATCTTCTGCACAGATAAACAAAGGATCCGTAGGTACCCCACTAGTTACACCTTCCTCTCCTTCACCTAAGGCTTAAAATCAGCTGTCACAGATTATCCTGTGTGTTACTAAGCAGGTGCTCCCTCAGTGTCTGGAGAGGATTAGCTCCAAGACCTGCTGTGGATGGCGAAATTCAAAGTCTCTCATAGAAAATGGTGTCATCTAATCTACATGTATCTTATTATACACGTTAAATTATGTCTAGATCACTTGTGATAGCTAAGGTAATGGAAATGTCATTTAAGTGGTTGCTAAACTCGTGTTTGAGGGATATTGACAAGGAAGTCTGTACATGCTAAATAGACCTAATTTTTTGTGTGTGAAATCTCTTTTTTAAAGCTACATTTAAAATTCTGCCTCTGTGTGTGTGTGGGTGGGAGGGGGGAGGGAGAGAGAGAGAGAGAGAGGGAGAGAGAGAGAGAGAGAGAGAGAGAGAGAGAGAGAGAGAGAGAGAGCGCGCACATATGCCATGGCATAGGTGTAGAGGTCAGCGAACAACTTACAGAAATTCTCTCTTTTTACCATTTGGGCTCTAGGAATCAAATTCAAATCATTAGGCTTGGCCACAAGCGTCTTTTCCTACTAAGCCATTTCACCAGGTATCAATATTTTAAAATATATTCAACCAAAGCATGGCTAAATCTACAGCTACAAAGCCAAATATAGAACTAACGATATGTCTTGGATAACAAACTCAGCTTAATAAAAGACATATTTTTGATATTTTCAATCTGATCAAGATTGTCAATGAAGTTATAATTAGGTTATTTTGTAGACCAGTGGTTCTCAACCTGTTGATCACGACCCATTTGGGGACTGAATGACCCTTTCATAGGGGTCACCTAAGATCATCAGAAAACACCATTATTTACATTATGATTCAAAACCCCATCAAAATTACTGTTAAGAACATAACTGCATCAAAATTACAGTTAAGAAGTAGCAACAAAAATAATTTTATGGGTGGTGGTCACCACAACATGAGGAACTGTCTTAGAGCGTCTCATCAGTAGGAAGGTGGAGAACCCACTGTCGTAAACATTGGTTTACTTTAGAATTTATGCAAAGAAAGGACAGCACCTAATAATATATAGCTAACGTAACCCTAATAAGGAATAATGCATTCAGAAGATTGACAGTACACTACTTTAAGACATGACAATGCTACACTCGACCAGACAGGGTAGTTCTGAAGAGAGAGAGCAGAAACAGACCCACAGAGATTAGATGATTTAAACATAGGTAAAAGAGCAATTCAGGGGAGGGGGCGCTTTTCAACAATTGTTGCTGGAACAGCTCAGTATTTTAAATGGGGAAGAAATAGATCTAGAAACAAAAATTAAAAGAGAGAAAGAGGATAGCAAGCAAGCAATAAGCTCTCTTTCTCTATTTTATACAGTACAGGATCTTATACAGAGCCATAGCCCTCCCCACAGTCAAGATGGGTCTTCCCATATCAAATAATCAGATCAAGAGAATCTTTTACAAGGTATTCTAGAGTCTGTCAAATTGCCAACCTTAATCACCACAATCCTCTACCCTCAAGTAGGTATAACATTTATTGTCCATCTCTTAAGTATGAATTGTGCCCAGTGACTTTCTTCTAAAGCATGCGTTCTGGGAAGAGTAAATAGAGGGAACAAATATACAGCAGGTGATCTAAAAACACTATTGTGTATAGGACACATGGCCTACCATGACACTCAAGAGTCATGTTGATGGTATGTCCCTTGATATAAAATGATGAAAATGATGGTTTACCTATTGTGGTCTTTCTTCTCAAACCTTTAACTTCAGTCCAATCACTAGAAAAACATTAGACAAAAACAAAACAAAACAAAACAAAAAAAAACAAGTTTGGCAAATTCTGCAAAACATTTAACCAATACTCCATTAAAATTATCAAGATCATTTTCAAAAAGGACTTTACCCTGGAGTAAAGTTAAAATATTATACTAGGTGCGAGATTCCAGGGTAGAAATTTGTAAGCCACTGAGCAAATGTAAAATTCAGATTTTAAGTTGATAATAATATTATTCTATTGGCCCATTAATTGTGATAAGATGGGTCACAGTAATTAAAGGGATTAATAACCAGAAACTGGGTATGAGAACTCAGTGACATTCATAATTTTCCATAAACTCAAAATTTTTCCAAAATATTTTAAAATAACTAATTATGCCAATCAACACTACCACTAATTTTTTTCAATAATAATGTTCAAATATACAGCCTCACATGTGACAGGCAATTGCTCTATAACTGAGCTATATTCTAGCACACACCACTATGATCTAATGTATATCTTCTAAATTTTTTTCTGTGATTTTTTTTGCATGAAATAGATAGTTACAGCCTTTTTCACTATCAGTGGGGTACTGGAATCAGGTTCTCTAATAGATGACAAAATCCCCAGATGTTCAAGCCTTAAAGTAGATGGCATAGTATTTTTCAAGAACCTATACACACCTGCCTGTATACTTTACATTGCCCCTAGATTAATTCTAATGTCTAATACAATGAAAAAGTTATGTCAGTAATTTTTATACTATACTGTTTAGGAAACACATGATATGTTAAGCATAGTTAAAATTATTTTTAATATTTTCAATCCCTATCCCTAGTGGATATGAAATCTGTAAACATCATGGTGTGTGTGTGTGTGTGTGTGTGTGTGTGACACATACAAACACTCTCTGTATCAGTGAACTGGGATTTTAATCACATCAGTCTTATAGATCTGGTAGAGTTTATTTACTCTATCATTGATTAGAAATGATTTGTGGTTTAGTTTTACATTATTATAATGATAATTAAATGAATATTACCTACAAGTATTTTTGTGTACATCATTCATTGTTTAAGAGCCTAGAGTCACAGTCAGCCAGGGAGTTAGGTCTTGGAATATGGCGGTATCATGATAGACTCATATCTAGACTCATATCTGTAACTTTCTGTGTACGTCTTGCTCTAGACTTTTAGTGATAACAAATCTTCTAATTGAGAAGCTAGACGTAATATGTCTTTAAAAGCTTTCATATGTCTTAAACATGATACAGAATGTCTAACTTTTATTTATTACACTAATGTAGTGATCTTTGTTATATTGGAATATTTCATAGATAAACTGTTTTAAAATGTGCTTCACATGATCCTTGAATTCACTATCTTACCAAGGTTGGCAATAAATTTGTGATTATCCTATTTCCATCTCCAAGTGTTCATTGGTGGTGTAGTTTTGAGACAGGACCTCATCAGGCCAGGCTGGCTTCAGACACTCTATGTAGCTGAGAATGGTCTTGAACTTCATATCCTCTTATCTCCAGCCCCTACTGCTATGATTACAGCTGTGTGTTACCAAGCTCAGTCTAGGTGGAGCTAGGGAGCAAGGAAATCACAAGCTTTAAGCATGCTAGGAAAACACTTTA